TCAAAATCCGACAGTGAAGGGGGGTTTTGAACCGACAGTGATGTCCAGATCTGAGGTAGTGTATATAGGGTCTGTTTGGCAGGGCTCCTCTCCGGCTCTGGCTCCTCTAGAGGAGCCCTGCCAAATGTTTTCCTAGAGGAACTATTTTTCAGCAAAAAACAGAGGAGTCGGAGCCGTTTTGGAGAAGTCATAATCTGAAGAAGCCACTTAGGAGGAGCCATGCCAAACACCCCCATATACTCTTCGATACCTATTCATACTTAAACCTTTGCACTGAACCTCCATGTATTGTCTGTGTTAATCTCAAACCTTAGTTCGAGCTAGTGATTCACGTGGAAATAGATATGATCATCATGCATATATATATGTGTTGTGAATGCACTATTACAAAATTGATTTTAGGAGAAAGCTTATTTTATTAAGAGATGGTTAGAAATCGTAGGTGTCTCAAAAAACAGCTAGCGATTTTTAGAAGCGGACGGTTTATTTATGTAGATAGATAGATAGATAGATAGGAAATCAGGCGACTCTAGAGACTTATTTAGAGAAGCGGTCATCTTATTAAGAGGCTCGCCTTTAAAAATATGCTTATTTTCAGCATCTTTGTTAATAAGGCCCAAGGCCCATTATTGCAAACCCTAGTAAAAGCATACTCAACTCTCACTGGTTCTCTCCATGTGCCCCTCCCTCTTCAACCGCCTCCCTCACTCCACACGCCCCTCCTTTCTCTGGCCACCCCGCTCTCTCTATGCACCCTCTCCCTCTCTCGAGCGCGAGCTTAGAGGCTCAGGGCAGCAGCAAATCTCATGGAGGGCTACATTGGAAACTCAAATACCCTTAGAATCTATGACTTTTTCCAGGGTTGGAAAGCCGTGGGGATATCATTTGAATAATCCATTTAGTTATTCATGGATGATTTTCCATCCCGTGGTGTGCCTTCCACTTGCTTCCAAATTAGGCCTGATAGTGGCAGGCTAGGAGCCCGAGGGCCATGCAGCAGAGCGGCGTTGTCAGATCTTGAGCACAGAGGAGGAGGCTGGAAGCATGCGTGGCTCTCTAACCTCTCTCTCCCTCTTCTCTCTCCATCTCCCTCACTATCTCTCTCCTCACAGGGCGACATGGGCATGGAGCTCTCTTCATCTTAGATCCACACGGAGGCTACCGATGATGGCATATGTGGAGATAGCCCGATACATGCCTGGTGTCCTGATCCGTTGGACGTAGGACGAATCTTGGCACCCCAATCTGCCAAGGTTGAGCACCGTCGACAAGCGGTGCCCCATCAGATTCCTAGTGGCAGGCTCGGCGGTGGCAGCTGGCATCATAATGCCGATTTTTAGCTTTTTATTTTTTAATCAATTTTCAGAGGTGAGTGTGTGAACACACATACCTCTAGTAATCCACCTTCATAGGTGGTCTCTGTGTACAACTATGAAAATCATGACTAGCAGAGACATTCGGGCACTTTGCCCCGCCTATAAAAATCTGCTTCCTAGTAGTGATGATGACACACATGATGCACATATACGTTACGTTAGTAATCTTTTCTATATTATAGAACTGCTTGGATGCAAGTCACACAAAAAAAAGAACTGCTTGGATGCATATATTAGAAGTACATTGGATATTTTTGTATAACGAGAGATGTAAGTAGATTAAAGGTATACTTGAGGATTACAATATTGGGAAGAAACAAATTGGGCTTCATCATAGTGCTCGCATGGCTACCAAGTGTTGTGGACACACCTGTGTCGATATCCATAGGCATGGGGAAGGATCTTGCTAGTGTCAACAACGTTGGAGGTCATTATAGTAGAGATGTCTAGCTACATGTCTGGCGCTTTGGTTGTTGGTCATGTTGCGTGTCGTGACTCGCGAGTACTCGTTCATTGATTGTCTCTATTGTTGGTCGCCTTTTCAAGTTGTTTGTAATAGCTTTCAAGTTTCCACATGTTGCCTCAGGACAGTTAGTTTGGTTTAGCGCTTGGGTCACAATGAAACTTATGTTCCTCTTAACGAAACATGTGTTCAGGCACATTCTCAAAAAAAAAAATTACTTTTGAAGTAACAATGGTGGAGGTAGGTAATTTATATGTATGTTTGGGGATTGTAAGGAAAATGGACCATAGGCCCATTTACTTTGGATTTTGGTGTTTGATGACCAACACAACTAAATTGGACTAATGAATTTGTAAGTAATTGTTTTGTAGTTCAATAGGGTATAAGACGTGACTTGGACGAAGGCGACATGATGATCCCACGATCAACACCTTAAGCGAGACCCTAGAAGTACAAGAGAGGATCCAAGATATCAAGCAAAGTCCAAGCACGAAGATAGGAACCAAGCCGGACGCAAGATCTCGAAGAAACGAGCTTCACAGAGGTGACCGAACGCGGCCCTTATAGCGACCGGACGCGTCCGATCAAGATGCTCGACAACAGCAGCGGTAGCAGTAGCGACCGGACGCTGAGGACTAAAGTGACCGGACGCGACGATGACACCATTCACTATCGCGACAATAGCTCAGCACTAACCGGACGCTAGAGGGTGATCGACCGGACACAGGAACTACATCGTCCGATCGAGTCCAGAGAGGTTCCAGAGCGGTGCCAGAGTCGACCCAGACTCGACCCAGAGAGGATCGACAGTGACCGGACTCGACCCAGAGTCCGATCAATGCGCGCGCTCCAACGGTCGGAACGACCGGACGCGTCCGATCAGGACGACAGCAGCGTCCGGTCAGTAGCAGAAAGCTGGGTTTCACCCCCAACGTCTACTTTCTGTATGGGGCTTATAAATAAACTCTCCAACCGGCTATTTGAGTATAGTGGAGTTGATGAAACATATCAAGAGTGTTGATACACTATTTTAGTGATCTCCACTTGCATAGTGCTTAGTGATTCATTAGGTGATTAACGTAGGTGATTAGCGAAGTGGTTAGGTTGATTAGACCACCGCTTATGCGATTGCTCTCGGTTTAGGCCTAGTGTTTAGTAAGGTTTGCACACCTCTTACCACTCGGTGCTTGCGCGCATCATGTTGTATATCGGAGGGGCTTGTAGTCTTGCGAGATCACACCAACCGTGTTTATGGTGTGGCTGCCACCGTGTACCGAAGGGAAGACGGCCGGAAGCTTCATATTGAAGACGGCGGGGAGCGGTCCAGGAAAGGCTTGTCGGAAGGCACACCGGAGACCCACTTGCGCGTGGGGAAGGCCCAGGGTATCCACGGAGTTACCCGGGAGCTTGGCCCTTGCAAGGGATTCCTTGCGAGGGGCTCCAACGAGGACTAGGGGAAAGCTTGCGCACTTCTCGATACCTCGGTAAAATACCGGAGTCGTCGACGGAAGTTTGCATATCTCTACCTTACTCTTTAGTTTCCATATTTACATTATTTGTATAACTCCTTTTACGGTAGAGATAGCAACACACTAGCAAAACCATAGTTGCACATTCAGATAATTTTTTTTTGCATAGGTTTTGCTAAGAATAGAAAAAGAGGCCATAGCTTTGAGTTAGAGTTTTAAATTGCCTAATTCACCCTCCTCTTAGGCGTCACGGTCCCCATCAGGGATCACTTGTTATTTTGATAATGTTACATCGAGGTTATTACTGGGGTTGAGACCTTCGGCGTGCCACCCACTTTTCACTCCTTGTGCCCGGCACATCATCACAGCTAAGGTAGGTTGTGTTCTTTGATTCAAAGCAGGGTTTCTGAAAGGTGCAGGAGAACCCAAAGGTACACTGCATGAGATTCACGAAGGTACACCACAAGAATCTCCCTGTTCCAGGGAATTAACTTTCAGGCTTTCCCGAAGCTGATGGTGCATCATAGGGGACAGCACAGGAGCAAGCGAGCATGGAGTAGAGCCATTGAAATTTGGAAAGAAGAACGTTATACCCCAGAATATAGATATGTTAGGTAAACCATGTACATCTTATAATTTCAGATACCACCATTTGCCTCCCCTATGAACACGGAGTCTATATTAGACAAAAAAGGAGAATAAATAGGGCTTCCATTTTTTCCATTCTCCCGTCTTGTGTAAATCTTATTTCCGTCATTGTGAATACCTGTTGGACTATGAAGTGCTAGCGTCCCTTGGACCTTCGGATCCTCGTCGAAGGTGCTAAAGGGAGCTTGATTCACAACAGTTACTTCAGGTATTTTTAATTAATAAGGTGTTAATTTAGATATAAATTTTGAGAGTTACTTTTATGTTGTTATATAAAGATTTATGGGTTAGTTTAGGTGAATTTCACAGAAAAGCTACGGAAAAAGAGAAGTTTAATTTAGACATAGATTTAGAGGGTTATGTTAGGCTATTTTAATAAAAGTAGGGACATAATGTACAGATACAAATTTAGGTACACTACCAAAAAATGGAGTTCTACTACTGTTTTTAAGTAGTAATAATAACAGTACTGCTAGTCATTGCACACGGGAATCCTCACTATGAGGCATTTGGTAGGAAAAAACTTATACTAAATATATTGAATGCTAAACACTAGGAGAACCCCAAATCACTCGGAGAAGTTTCATTTTCTGGTTGTGGTAATTTAGATGATTAGGTACCTTTAGATTATTGTTCATAATGACAGAAATGAGTAATTCAGGTATAATATACTTACTTAGTTATTCCAGAATATTTGCATAATGGCAAAGTGAGTAAGTTCTTAGAAAACATACAAAAAGTTGATGATTGTTGAAATCTATAGAATTGATGGCCGGATGTTAAGTTTCTGGTTTTCACCAGAATTTATAAAATTTATTGTTTTATCTAGTGCATCTACCGAGGATTAAAGTAGAGGCTTCAAAAGGAATCTGGTTAATGGCAGTAAGATAAGATGCTGGCCCCATTGGAAATGCTTGAATTCATTTCAAGAGTTTTGCGGGTATTGAACTGATTGATACAAAATTTGTGCAAATTTCCTGTTTTTCAAGCTCACTGCCCTTTGTATTGAATTAATATACTAGTGTGGCATTGTTATCATCTTACCCGTTAGCGGGGAATGCAAGCGTGGCATTTGTGAGCGTTAGGAAGGTGTTAATGGAGGCTCCCTGCAAGAGAAGAACATAGTTGTCATGATTGGTACATATTGATTTCAGTGAGAGAGAAAAAAGATATTCGAGCATAGAACATCGTGGACTTCAGGTTAATTCATCTCTGACTACTATGGTCTCGCTGTTCCCAAGAACGATCTTGACGATGAACCGGCGATCGATGCTGCTTGCCGCCACAGACAGCATCCATGGGGCAACATTGCAAACGTAGCCGCCATCATCCAGCCCCGAGTTCCTGGCCGGCACGGACGTGAGCACCCCAGGCCTCATGGCGTGGAAGGAGCCAATGGCTATCACGTCACTGAAGTACTCAAATGGGTAGGAGGCCCCGATGGAGATGGAGATCACGTCCACACCATCGGCGATGGCATTATCGAACACCGCGAGGATGTCGGCATCGTCGCAGCAAACCTTGTAGATGGCGAGCCTGGCGCTGGGCACCGCTCCGCGAGCTGTGCCAGCGGCCAAGCCGTACATGCTGACGTTGGCCACCACACGCCCTGCCACGGTGGATGCCGTGTGGCTGCCGTGGCCGTCAACGTCCCATGGCGACTGGCCAGAGCTGCTGGATCTTCCGTCGTAGGCGCGTGCTCCAATGATTTTACTGCATGTCACGCCATAGTCAGAACAGTGAGTCTAGGTCATGTTTTCATTGGCTTTAATTGAACTGTTCTATTGATAAATTTTTGGCAAAAATGAGAAAAATAACTAACAAATAAGGGATATCTCAAACAACTCAGTTGAGTTAGCTACCCACTAAAAAGAAAAGGTCTTTTCATACTTGTTGCACGTGAAGTTGTGGCATGTACCCTTCCACCTGCTCGGCGGTGTGCAAAAGCCTTCGTCGGAGAAGGATGGCGAGTCAGGCCATATACCGGTGTCGAGCATGCCGACGATGACGTCTCCCTCCAGTGGTAGCTCTTGAATGGGCGTTTGAGGGAAGCCCAGTCCCATGATCTTATGGTCAGAAGCTCGAGGGTCCTACTTGGGAAGATTGAGACAACACCATTCATGCCTAACAGTAACAAGGAAAATAGTATAAGATAGAGCTAGATTCATGCTTGCTTTACAATTTATACCGTTGATATCAATTGAAAGTAGTTCGTATATTTTGGGTTCATCCAGCTATCCCTTGATCTTGCATTGATGTCTCTATGCCCTTGTGACATAGGTCTGAAACCTCATTGCACAATCACAAAAGAAAACGATTGAAAAGAAGAGCATGTTAATTGTCACATACCAGACAGTTTTTGTGTCTCTTCTCTTTGCTTAGCTTGGTGGCGAAACCATTTAAGCTTCTCTTGTAACTACGGAGGATCCTGTCCGAAGCATAGCTACAGAAAGACAAAAGGATTGGTTTATATGGTCAAGCCTTGTTTTTCATAACAAGAATTATTAATCTTTAAACTTGAGAATAAAACCGCAAATGGCACGACAAGGTCACATAGCACGCAATCGCCTGTCGTTATATACGAGATGCCATATAGGAGTAGGTCGGGTCGAAGAAAAAGATTAGATCTGCCGTCGTCCAGGACCTGGTTCAGCAGGTCGCGATGAGCAGCTTCTACAGCAGTAAAACCCTGGAGCTCATTGGAAGGATCAGGGCTGGGTAGGTGCCCCAGGTACACGATATAGACCTGCACACTGAAAGAAATTTTTGAACTTTTAGGTGTAGATCTAGCGGGTAATGTCTTAATTTAGATGGAGAAGCTTGGTTAGTGTACCTAGCCCTAGGTCATCGTTACCTAGAGTGAATCCTGTCCGAGTCCCATCGCGTCGGTGTAGTAGCTGCAGTGGCACCGGCGAGATCTCGGTGGAGAAGCGGTGCAGTCACTGCAGAGGCGACGGTGAAGTTGGTGGGGCTTCTCGTCGCTGGCAGCACCCTTCTCTTTAGATCGGATAGGGTTAGAACCTAGGTGGGGCATCTGGCGGCTCAGAGGAACCTTGTAGCTTGTGCCCGGTCCCCACCCCTCTTTTATGGTGTTGTGCGACAGGGGCCCACCAACCAAAGAGCGGTTGGGCGCCCCCGATCAGGGCGCGGATCCAAGGGCTCAATTGACAGGTGGAGATCAAACTAACATTCTCCCTCTTGATCTCACCTTATTCCTTAAACTGAACTTACTTACTTTATCTTATTCCCATTCTATCACAGATTAGTGCATAGAGCGTGCCTCATCGTCACGGTCTGTTGCCATTAGATTAAACAGCTACAACGCACCTATCTGTTTTTGAAATAGATACTCAACTAGGCCCTTAGTATCCAGAAATCATAGGCTTTCCCATAAACCCATGTCGACTGTGTGTTCTCTGAACGCACTGGGTGGTTAGCCTTTGGTAAGCGGATCCATAAGTACTTGCTCGGTACTTATGTGCTCAATGCTTTCAAAATGATTCTGGATTTTCTCCTTTACAACATATACATTAGTGTCAATGTGTTTGGCAGCACACTTGACCTGTTGTCTTAGGAGTTAACTTATTTTAAATGGTTATTGCTGTTGTCTACCATTATTAAATCCAAGTACAAATTCCCTTAACCTCCTTTTGCCTGTTTCTTAAGCCTCGTGTCAAGCTATACTATGGTATGCATCATTGATGGCACCACAACCGTTTCTTTGGAGCTTTTCCATAATAATACTCCAACTACGAGTGTTAGCAACTGCTGTGGATTTTTCTACACATCTTATCAAAACTTAACATTTGTACCCACAACTATTTGAGAGTACTTGTCCTTTCTTACTTAGCATGAGGCCTATGATACTTTGTAAAATTGCAAGACATTTTCAATTCCATTCCAGTGATCTATATCTGGACTGGACTTCTGCCAAAATATCCTGGATACATAAACTACGTTAGGGTAAGTTCTTACTTGTACTTGTACACTCATTAAGCTTCCAACAGCTGAAGCATATGGAACCATATTCCTTTGATCGATCTCATATTGGTTCTAGGAACACTTAAAGTTTCCAAATCTTAACCCTTGACTATAGGAGCAGGCGTAGGTTTACTCGCATGCATACTTTACTTGTTTAGAATCTTTTCTAAGTATGCCTTTGCGACAGTCCTAATACCCCATTTTCTTTTATCTTGGTGAATTTCGATTCCTAGAACCAATGACGCTTTACCAAGATCATTCACATTAAAACTTGAGGACAAAACTTCTTCTTCTCCAATGACAAATTAACATCACTACTAGTGAGTAGAATATTATCTATTCATAGGATGTGGAAAATGAATTTTCCATTCTTAAACTTCACATAAATGCTATTGTCCTTCTCATTTTTCTTAAAACCCAAACTTTCTCATTGTTTCATCAACTTCAAATACTACTGTCTAGTGACTTACTTTTAACCCATAAATGGATTTCCACAGGCTGCATCCATTATGTTCTTTTCTTTCATGACAAAACCCTTTAGGTTGTGCCATGTAAACGTTTTTATATAAATCCCCGGTGAGGAATGTCGTTTTTACATCCATCTGATGTAACTATAAATCGTAATGTGCCATGAACACCATTATGATTCTAAAAGATTCCTTGCATAAGACTAGAGAGAAAACTCTAATTGTAATCTATTGATTTTTCTTTGCGTAAAACATATTGCTACAAGTCGTGCTTTCTATCTTTCTACTTTCCCTTTGGAGTCACATTTTGTCTTTTAGACCCATTAACAGCCTACTGCTTTGACTCCATTAGGAATTACTTCTAAATCCCAAACATCGTTGGTATTCATCGAATTCATTTCAACTTTCATAGCTTCTTGCTATTTAAACGAGTAAACACTTCTCATAGCTTCTTCAAATGAGGTGGGATCACCCTCCATTTGAATTTCTTTACTAACATAGACTTCATAGTCATTGAAAAAACTGGTTTACTAATTCTTTGTGACCTTCTAGGGCCTCAGCTACTGGCACTTTTATATGGGGTTGTTGTTGCTCTTTATTGCCAAGAGGCAAGTGATTCTACAGGCTCATGTATCACAAGATCCTTGTTTACATTATTCATCTTCTTCGAAGAGCCAACAACAGGTGTTGTATTAGTCATACAACATCAACAGGTATTGAGTCTTCAAGTCTTAGGTCTCTACATACCATGCTCTCCCAGATCTTTCCATCTTTTCTAAAGATAGTGTATCTTTTAATTTCTTATTTGGGTTCAATCTGTTAAAACCTTATATGGCGCTTTAAGCACCTCTTTAACATCTTTGAGGCTGACTACGCTATCTTCCTGTAGGAACTTTAAAAGATCCAGGAATTTAGCTACTTCTCTGCTTAGGGGTATCATCGTTGTAACCATTGTACTCCTCCGACAGTCACATTCATCTTAATTAATCTTTATCTCACTCTTAATGAAGAGTATCTTTCTTAATTGATCTTTATATTCTCTCCCTTGAAATATGGCATGAACTTTACTACCATAATTTTGATAACTATTCAGAAAGCCTGTAAACGAGGAGACACTTATAACTTACTTCATTCACATGATTGTGTCATGTAAACAAAGTTATTTCTTGATCCGTTTAGGAGTACACTTTCCTTAATTCACTTGAAGAACTCAACGAGGTCTTTCATTAGCAGTACTTTTGCAAGTAACGCTTGCATCTTTTTCTTATCATTTGGTTAGTATTGACCATGATGATGCATTTCTATTTTGCCATGGTCAATACTAGGATAGCATAAAAGCTACCCAAACTTCTCTCGCTATGCAGGATACAAAACATTTGAATCATCAGAAAACTTCTCCTGCCATGTAGGATTGAATAGCATAAGTACTATGCCAAAACTTCTCCCCATGCGGGATACATCTATACGAAAACTTAGTCATAACGACTAAAACTTCACTTATGCTTCATTTTCCAATTAAATCTTCCTGTTGGTTCCAATTTAATTAGAAAATTAATAAACTAACAAAAAATTGTCCTGAACTCGCTTGACTCAAGCCTTTTCATTCACATACCCCAGCATTGCAGCCCGTTGGCATGCAGCCAAGTGATCTTGTCAGTTAAAAATAAAATATACAATATACTTCTGCATCAATTCTACATCACCGTTGGGTAAAAAATAGAATTGATGCATTAAAACTCATAAATTAACTTGAAATACATATAACTACTCTTAAAAATTAAATTCTCCCGTTGGTTCGAATTTAATTAGAAGATAATCAACTTCATAGTAGCGGAAACTTAATAGTGAAATACATTCTTTTAGTTCAGGAGCATTTCTTGGTCCTTATCTACTATCTAAAAAATTCACCATGTTGGTGTAAAATTTACCGGAGATTTAATCTTCAAACTTAAATTCGTTATAATATTGTTATCATCAACGTTGGTCAGAAAATGACAATACTATAATCTTACATAAACAAAAAAAATGGACTACTCCTCTAATTAAATTTTCCCGTTGGTTCCAATTTAATTAAAGGATCAACATAATCATAATTTTCTAAATATAACTGCTCTTCAAATTAAATTCCCCCGTTGGTTCGAATTTAATTAGAAGATAATCAACATTAAACTTTGCAGCGGAAACATGAAAAAAAATTTATCTACTTTTCAGAAGCATTTTACTTTACTCATCTGCTCTCTGAAAAAATTATCCTGTTGGTTTAAATTTTGACAGAGATTCAAAACTTGACAAAAATTCATCGAAATTTGCTTCTGAAATTGTCAAAACTGCTTCTGAAAAATAAATAAAAGCTTAAAACATTAGCAACTGTTTATTTGGCCCGGCCTCTGGAAAAACAGTACGCGGCCCAGCTCTATAGCGCAGTAGCGCGCGGCCCAGTCCAGTGAAATCGGGCCACGCCGAACGTGCGCGCCTCCCTCCCCCGTGCCCAGGCCGCAACCTATGCTTTGCCCGGGAATTCAGCCTCCCTCTCGCGCCCGCCTGGGCTTGAATCCGGCCCGGCTACTCTCCGCCGTCCATCTTGATCCGATGGCCACACGCACGTTTCGCTCGAA